CTGCGGATGTTTTGGGAACTACATCCTCATTTAGCAAACAATTTGCTGTGGTCCCCATTGTTTCTTTCCAAGAATAGAACCACCTTGGCAAACCGTGTGCCTCAACTTGGAACTAAACAACCAAGAGCCATTGTAGATGAGAACAGAAACAACCAGAGGGAAACATGTTAACCCAGAGTTGACTCCTGTGTCCTTTATCCAGGGAAGAAAACACAGATGATATCTTTCTTCCTCTCAAAATAACCCTCTAGAGATGGATTTGAGTGCTCTAGTAGGGTGACACAACTCTCAGAGAAGCCTTACACTCAGCACAGGTAGCATAGTTCTCAGCAGACATGGACAAGACAAACGGCACAAATTCTAGCCTGCTTTACCTTCAACAACCTACCTAAGAGCAAGTTATCTTGCTGCTGTCTGCCTCAGTTTCTCATTTATAAAATGGTTAATAACAACCATCTAGCTCAGAGGCATTCTGGGAGTCTTAAAAGAAAACACAGAACCTGGCATATGAATAGTATTCTATCTGCATCAATTTCCTGCCTGACCTCTCTTTTCAGCACTGGGTACATTATCGCTGCCTCCAGGTCCCTTTAGAAATGGTGAGGTGAGCCAGGGCCACCTGCCAACATCTCTCTGTCACAGCAATGTTAAAGGCCAACGCCACATCATCCTGCTGAGAGCCGGGTTCTCAACATTTTCCATCTTGAATGAACATTAACTGCCTGGCTTTCTGACTGGTATGTAGAAGTGCAGATGGCTGTTTTCCCTGCCCTTTTAAAATTGCTTTAGGTGCTTGTGTGCTGTTCAACATGACCTGAAATATGGCAACATTCTAAGGAATGGGAGAAAAAATCAGAAATCAGTAAATTACTGAGTTTTTTCAGGAAATTTGTTCAGGCAAGGAGAAGAAACTCCAAAGCGTTATATATGAGTTAGCAAGCCAGTAGCATCAAACTACGCAACTATCAAACAATAAGCATTCTGGAAGGCTAAGGGGATTTCTTAAACAACCAACCCTTCCTCAACTAGCAAGGTTTGACATCACTTAGCAGATCCTTATGCCCAACCCAGAGTGGCTCTGCATCTTCAGTTTTGTTTTTTAAAGACAGCAAAGGGTATCATTTGCATAAAGTCTCCTGCCCAGCATGACTCAACAGTTGGTCACAAACCAACTCTGTTGTTATTTGGGAACACACCACCCATTTGATATGCCAGTGCCCTCCAATCATTTTTATTAGTCTATACAACACCAGCCTAGCATTCTTGAGGATCTTGTTTTGTTTTACAGGAGATACAAAATGGTCATGTGATTTGCTTAAGGTCATACACATTTCATAAGCTCTCAGGTAAAGGGAAGGGGCTGTTATCTGCAAGAAGCTGTTAGTTGGAATCCTGATTCAAAGAAAAACAAATTGGGTAGAATGAGCATAGATTTTTTAATTCTGGTCTTCCCCTCACAGGATGTGACCTGGTGTGAAGAATAAGAAATGCTTCGTTTGCTCCTCTTAAAAAGGAAATTTTCAACAGATTCTCTCCATACACACTAAAGGAATAAACAAGGGGGAAGCTGGACCCAATGTCTCTCTAACACCTCCTTTTAACACCAAATCCTAAGGAAAAACCAGGAGGGAAACTTTAACCCCAAACATGGCATAACTACCCTGAACTCTCTGGTGTCTTTTCATACTTGATTCTTTTCTTTTAAACCTAAGCAATATGACAAAGAGTAGGGGTGATTGTGGCATTTATGAGGAGACTATACAGATGAATTATCCCTCTCAGGGCAAATTCTTAGCTATATCCAGTAGGACTCTCAATTATGAATTTGCATTGACACACAGCATATTTATGTTCTACTAGAGTTCAATGGATAACAGGGTTGGATATTTTATAAGTGCTTGATTTTTTTTAAAAGATTTATTTATTTATGCATATAAGAGCTGGGCTATAGGACAGAGGTGGAGGGAGGGTAAGAGGATTCACCAGAGACAGAGTGAGGAACATAATGGTGGAATGCCTAAAAATACACTTACTGGGGAGAGTAGCAGATATGACAGGAGAGGTCTGCTGTGTTATGTGGGTCACCTCCCTGGCCAGGGTTCAAACTCATACGACAGTGGTTGCAGACAGCTTCACAGTGCTAAGACCTAACCCCTGTGCCACCAGGGAGGCCCAGTGCTTGATTTTTAAATACTTCAGAACAGGTGATACAGGGCAGCTATAGGAGAAGGTTAATAAAGACAGGAAGAAGAAGGAAATTTTCTAAAACTGAATTGCTTTTCTTTAACTTCACAGTATCTGAGAGTCTTGGTTTCTTGGCAAACTTATTTGTCACACTGCTCACAGCATTCACAACCATTCAGGTGTGTTCTGGGTTTCAGGCCAAGGCACTGGTACCTACTTCCTCTAGAAGCCACTCCAGAAAGAGGGATAACAACTACTTGGTGCTCTAGATCTAGTGAAACCCCATCTCCTACCTGCACTGGTACACATTTCTCCATATTCAGAGAGTTAAGAAATACTTAAGAGATTGGGGATAGCAATGAAGGAGGATTCTTTGCAGATGGGGAGGGAAAAAAGCACCAGAGCCCACTCTCCCATCCTGGTCTGAGGCTATACCACAGACATACATTTTCCACACTGGAGAATAATAATCCCTTTATCCAGTCAGTCTGGAACAATCAGCCCCTGGTAATTGATTTCAGACCTTGAATGGAAAGTTGGGAAGGTGTGGGTACAGTTGGAGAAGGGGCCGGAAGATGGGAGGAGGCGGAGGTGGCGCCCTTAAAAGGAGAGGGGTGGTAGGAGAGATGAAGCCAAATCAGTTAAGAAACAGAAGGCAGATGCTCTGTCTCTAATACGACCATGGAATATGCCAGGACAGCTTCCCCAGAAAAGGCTTGGAAGAAGCTGGTCATTGTGGTAGAACAGGCACAAGGCCAGCTTCTGGTATGGCCTTACAATTAGCTGGTCCATAGACCCTGGGTACGTACACAACCTCTGAAGCCCAGAGGTTGGGACAAACCTCTTCTATAAAGGGTCAAACCTTTTAAAGTCTAAATATTTTAGGCAGGGGAGGGCTAAATCACAAGTATTCAATACTGCCCTGCCATTGTAGCACAAAAGCAACCATAGACAACAGACAATATATACATAAATGAACATTACTATGATCCAATGAAATGTGATTTACAGACAATGAAATATGAGTCTCATAATTTTGACATTTCACAAAATACTCATCTTTTGATTTTTTTCGTCAGTCATTTAAAAATATAAAAACTATTCTCAGCTTGCAGGCCACACAAAAGCAGGTAGGAACTAGTCTTTGGACCAGTTTGCAACTCCTGCTCCAGAGTTACAGTGGCAAACAAGACCAGGCCTCTCTCTCACTGGTTCAGTGACTACTACCTTACCCATTCTAGAGGTCTCCTCTGGCTCCAATCGCCCTGTGAATGCAGCCCCAGTTTATCTTGTTGCACACTATGTAGTTCAGCTTTATTTTCCTTTGAAATCTCGTAACTACAATGCCCCACCATTGGTGGCTCTTTTGAACTGTGCCAGGGGCTCCTCAGAGCCAAGAAGTCTCAGGTAAAAGGGAAAGGTTTGAGCTTCGTGTCAGAATCGGGTGAGGCAGATGCCGCAGAAGAGGGTATCTGTAGGTGGGTGGTGAGAAAGGCTATGATAAAACAACAGAATCAGTAATTGCTTCTCCCAACATTCAGAGGAAATATTATTAGATGAGATTGCACCATTACATATGTGTTGGGTAACGGGAATAGGAATTCACAGAAATGGAGTGAAAGAGACAATATGAAACAATGGAGATGCTAAAATAGGAGCTTCCCTGGGAGCCTAGCAGTTAAATCTCAGCGCCATCACCACCATGACTTGAGTTCTATCTCCAGTCTATGGCACAGCTCTCCTATCTTGCCCACTGCTCCCCTTAGCAGTATATTCAGTCTATTTTAGTCTGTCCACCTGTTCTGCTCCCTACTCTGTTTCTGGTGAATCCTCTTACCTCCTACACTTTTGTCCTACATTCCAGTTCTTCTATGAAAAAAAAAAAAAAGCCACAAAATACCACACAACTCTCAGCCCCCTCCAAGTTTCATACCAGAAATTAGCTGGATCTCTCTCTAGGGGAGAATATCCAAAGAAAACTACCATAAATGCCTGGTGAGGGCATCATTACTGGTACCAGTGAAAATCATATTGAGACCCCTAGAGGTAACTGCAGATACAGAAGAAGATCCTAGAGCAACACCCAGAGACCTATAGTACACACCCAAATATGGCCTTTCTAAAAATGATGCCAGGTCTAGGGGACCACATGAAGAGAAACTACAAAGGTTGTTGTTGAAGACAATCAGCTCATACAAACTCAAAAATGGTTATATTTCTAACCCGTTAAGGCTATTCCAGCTCACCATCTTCAATCAGAAAGTCCTTGAAATCATAAAAATATACACTGAGGGAGATAGATGTGATCATAATGTCTATCCAGTTCAACCCTTTCATTTTACACAAGGAGAAACTGACCCTTAGAGTAGCTAAGTGGCTTGTGCAAAAATCACAAGCCACTGGTGTCAGGGATGAGTTTCTGCTTTCACTAAATTACAACCTCTGTACTCATTCTGAGAAAAAGCAAAGAAACACAAGAAACAAATAATAAAGAGCTACCAATCATTAAGAGTTTATTGTGCTACCCCAGTAAATCTTCACAGCCATTCTGAGACAGGGGGTAGTAATGTCATCACCAGTAGGTTCCTATATAGTCCCCTCAGGCTATATAGTTCATTTGGCCCCTCGGTGCAGCAACCCCAGGACTGGCTCCTAGCTACCATAGCACAAACATCCCATCCCTCAACACCCTTTACCCTCAACCACCACCTTGCTTTCCCTGCAACAGCCTCCTAGACAGAGTCCCAGTCCCAGCCTTTGGGAGAAAGCATGGCATTTTTTCCCCTCCGACACACAGATGACAAGCCAAGACTTACCTGAGGCAAGTCCGTCTCCAAGGAGGGTGCTGAGGATCACCAGTGGAAAGAATAATCCATGTCCCACAGAGGCCAAAGCAAACAAGGAGATGCTCTTTGGTACTATCCTGCCATGGCACATCTTTTATCCGTCCAAGTTATTTTTAAAAGAAAAAATTTAAAAGCCAGAAGAATTCTGAAGTCAGCCAGGGGTAGATTCGCCTATAAAAAAACAAACAATAATATAAGAAAAACCTTTAACCACAAATTAGTTAGAATAGGCACCTGGGTAAGGAAGCTATTAATCACATACAACGTTGAAAGAATTCTAGTAAATTAATTCCTTGCTGCCAGGAGAAGACACATGCACCTAAGTGGCTTTCTGACTCCTCTTGGGGAAATGCCAAGGCCTGCAGCAAGCTGCCTGCAGTGTCAGGGAACCCAATCCTTCTTATAGGACAAGGAGAGAGTGCTGGCTCACCTGGAGCTTGTGAGGCCCCACAGAGCTCTCAGAAACTGCCCAGCTTGCCTGCCTGCCTGAGGCTCCAGCAGAAAGGAAGAGAGAGGCAGCTGTTGACACAGAGCTGCTACACCTCTGAGTCAGGCTTTGTCTTTGCCATTTGGACTCTGAGCAACTTCAACTATCCAAAAGGAAAAAAAAAAAAAAATAGAGAACACGTGTCTTAAAAGGGAGAAATACACCGCCTAGAGAAGGAATGCAGCAGTGGGAGCCAAGGGCCCCTGGCTTGGCCGGCTGAACCACCAAAGGCTGGATGAGCCCCTGAGCATCTGACTCTGACTCTATAGTCATGAATCCCAAAAATGGACTAATTGAGGCTCACCCAACACCTGTGATTCCAGAGGCCACACTTGTCAACTGTTCCAGACAGTGATTGGGAGGAGGGAGGAAAGACTGTAATTGTTAATTAGCCCCCCTACCCTACCGTCACTTTAGTTTAAAAGACTTCAGAAGAGTGGGAACCACTATCTTTCACAAACTCAAGGGTCAAGATTCTTAAGTTTTGTCTACATTCCTTCAAGAAGTAGGTGGGTTGATGATACGTTATGTGGGCCTATTATATTTTAATTAACTCTTGATCTCATTTGTTCTAGGTTTATAACACCTATTCCAAATAATAAGATCACACTTCCTTTTTAATTTCTACACACATCCTTCTCCATTAATAAGGTTTTATGAACATGGATAAGGGAACCTGTCATCTACTGGCTTAATAAAGGCTGTCCTGGAGACTCTGCCTGGAAGGTTAATCAGACCTGATTAATTCATGTCTGAAGCTTCAATTTCTACCTTGTTACCCTTCTAAAGAAGATAACTGCAAACAGCAGCATGAGTTGTCTTAGTCCAAAGGACCAACAATTATGAGGGTCTCAATGAATATGAGCCAAGACTCAAGAATAAAGCAGCTGGTCATGAGGTTCTCACCTACTACCCCACACATAGTTGTCACTGAAACAACCTTCTGTCCAAAGCTTTCATCCAGACTCCAATTTGAGTCTTTATAGCTGTAGAACAGAGACAGTTCATAGAGAGGTATAGAAGTGGATCTGTGAATCACCCAAAGCAGCACATAAATCTGCATGTGTGGCGATGCATAGAATTTGTATTACTTTATGTGGCTAGGAAAGGTAGAGTCAGAATGTCAGAATCCAAATCTGTTTCCTCTATTATGACCTTATGGCCAGTTATATAATCCTCTCTTAGCCTCAGTTTCCTCATTTGTATAAGGGGGATAGTATATCTCTACTATCATGGGAGGCCTAGTGAGAATTAGAATCAAACAAAGCACTTGGTACAGTGCCTGACAATTTATGAGTCTTTAGCAAACACTGACAGCTAGTGCTATTGTCATTATTAAGAAGATCAAAGCTGTAGGAATTTGGGAGGTCATCAAATTCCACATCCTCATATGACAGATGATGAAACCAAGGTGTGAAGAAGCCAAAGGATATGCCACTAGTCAGTTAGCAATGGCCCTTTGGTGTTTCAGATACAGCCATAGCAGGTAACCCTACCAGACAGTCATCCCCTTAAGGCAACAATCAGTAGATTATCAAGAATGACACCTGCTTGTGCACATGCACAACAAATATTTCAGTGGTGAATGGATGAGGCCAGATCAGAACAAGGGTTTACGTGTTCTATGCACTAGTGAAGATAATCAGGAAAGAGAACCAGGACAGGGGGTATTAAACACGCTGATAAAGGATGTGTCTAGTACGAGAGTCAAGTGGATCAAAACAAGGGGAGTACAGTATTCATAGCAGAGACTAGGCTAAGGAGTTTATGCTTTTACCCTAAAAAATACGTGAAGCTTACAAGAATTATAAGTAGATTAGTTAAATAAGCAAATTCCTTCAGAAGATCAACCTGAAAGGCATTTTAGGGGATGACCAAATGGTAAACATCTTAAATTTCTTATTTTATAATTGATGTTAAACTCTTCAGAGAGCACTTAATATTATCTGCCCCAAACATCCATATTCTCTGTCAATACTACTTTCAGAATATGTCTCTAGAAGTCACATGTATGCAGTAACAGATACACAGGATAATTACCGCGTGATTTGTGATGGCAAAAGATCAAAAGGGGACTAGTTAAATAAGTTCCCATATATTCATATAATACCATGCAGTGGTTTAAAGAGAACTGGGCAATTCAGTCTTTACTAATGAGTAATTTCCAAAATTAGTACCTGAAGACCATCTGTGCATGTAGATGTATTTTTAAAGGACATACACTTCTTTCAGTATGCACTCAAAATTCCTCTCTGAAATGATGTACAAAAAAACTGGTCATTACGGAGGGAAGCTGAGTGGTTAACAGGGAAGGAGGGGGTGGCAAATCTGGTAAAGGGTGTCAAGACAAATGAAAACTGTACTTTCAGTGGTGATCATGATGTACTTATACAGTTATTGAATTATAATGCTATATACCTGAAACCTAAGTATAGTTGTGAACCAATGTTAACTTCAATAAAAAGTTTAAAGACAGGGAAACTCCCTTTGACTGTTATACTTTGTCATCTATTCAAATATATAAAATATAAAATCAATGTAACAAGGACTTCCTATATATTACACTTGTCCTCCATCAACAAACTGACATTAAAATAAATCTGACTACTCCCTCTACCAGAAATATAGTCAAATGTCAGGGCTCAGCACATGGTCATCTCCTAGAAGAATTCTGACATTTTACATCATGCCTAGCTCCAGTAGATTTAACCCCATTCTTATTCCCAAAGTACCTGGGTTCCTTGCTATGACTGCATCTCTACCAGGTTAATACAGATACTTGTTTATCCTTCTTACCTCCTTGGGCTCAGTGTTCTTTGAAGGCAGGAACTATAAATTACTCAACTGAGAGACAGGTAGCAAATGTTTGCCAACCTCATGCACGCTATGGGAGGAGCCAAAATGGGACTGAGGAGAAGAGGTGTGTAAGTGTGCTCCTCTTTTGTTTTGTCTTGAAACAACTGGGTCCTCTCTCACTGCTTAAGCAGATACCTGAGCCAAGGGGACAATTCTACCATGAAGCCTAAGACCAGATGAAGTGTGCAGAACAGACAAGGGAATGGGAGCATCAAAGGAAAGGGAAAAGATGAATGGAGCTTAGTGGAGTGCTTATGCAAGGCTGGACATATTAGAAACAATACCAAGAAAAGTGAATCCGGCATGCTCCAGGCTACTGCTCAGAATGGGAGTACTATTGTGGAGACAGGGTCACACACTGCCTCTAATCATGTTAAGAAAGAATTTGCTTTGAGCAAGGAATAAAAAATAAGATAAAATATAGCTTGTCATTGAATTGTGGGCTTTAGACCAAGGGAAAAACACTTCAGTACAAATTAAGACTAGGTATTCATCATTTCAAAAGAAAAAGGTAGTAGAAAACTTACATAAATATATACATATAGATATATTCACTTCACTTCAGTATACCCTTGGTATGTTAGTGACCACTTCCCCTAATTAAAAAGGGGCCCTCCCTGGTGGCACAGTGGATCAAAGCATTGCAAGCTAGCCACAGCTGCTTCCGTGCAAGTCCCATCCCCAGCCCTGTAGGTGACCCACACGGCGCAGGAGTCCTCTCCTGTCTCATCAGCTACTCCCCTCAGCAGTGTCTATCAGTCGACCTGCTGTTCTGCTCCCCACTCTGTCTCTGGTGAATCCTTTCACCGCCCCTGTGTCTATGGCCTGTACCCTGGTTCTGTATGAATAAATAAAAAAATCTTAGGAAAGAAAAAAAAGAAGAAAAGCATAGCAAAGTAAGGGTGGTTGTCAGGACTGGGGGAGGGAGGAACAGTGACTGTTTAATGTGTACATTTTTAGTTTTGCCAGATGAAGAGTTATGGAGATGAATGGTGGTGGTGACTGCACAAAATCATGAATATACTTAATTCCACTGAGCTGTACACCTAAAAATGTTTTAGATGGTCAAATTTATATGTATTTTACCACAATCAAAAATAGATGATTAAAGAAGGACCTCCCCGCCCTAAGCCTCATTTTCACTCACTCATCCTTACCGGGTATCTAACATTGAAACTTACAAATAAGAAAAGGATCTGGACTACCTACTACCTACTAATTAGTCTGATCTCTGCCACCAACCAGATGGCAGGTTATAAAGATTCTCTGACTTCCATGTAAAAAAGTCTCTAAGGTCTCTCAGCCACAGAATTCTCTACAGTGTCCAAGTTTCTCATTGTATAATACATCTCCTTCCTTCAGAAATCAGCTTTCCTCACCAAAACACTGGGTGAACAGTGGAAAATCTGCACCAACGGTTCTGATTTTCTTTTCTGGGACTAGTGTTCACCAATAGCATCTGGTAGTAGGCGATCTCATGAGCTATCCTGTCAACCCCTCAGGGCAGGATCTGGCCTTTCCCACCTCAGAGAACTCAAAACAACAAAAGCTGTGCCCTGTTGAATGCGATTCCATGACTACCCATGCCCAAGAACACTTAAGTCCTTAAGTGTCCTTAAGTCATGACTTTGATCTTGGGGAAGCCATTTACCTCAGCTATGCCTGTTTTCTCATCTGACAGATGGGGCTGGTTGCTAGCTTTGGATTAATCACTAGTCTGTAGTGAGGCTCAAAATGAAGACTGAATTGTTACAGGGCAGGGAGAGAGGGGCACCAGTGAACCCCCAAACCTGCCTGCTCCAAATCGATTCCGCCATGCGCTG